CTTTTTTCCTCTCTGTGCACTATGATTGCTCTGGCATCCAACTACTATTACATGAAATAGAACAGGAAATTATGGAAGTGGCTTGTAATTTGTAACCAATCTCTCTTTTTTTTTATTCTGTTTTTCAAAATTTTATCTTTAGAACGCATTATTGCATTCATATGCTTGTAGTTGAATATGATTGTGCAATGTTTGGAGTAGCCAGAGGATATTTTTGATACAATTCGATTATGTTTGATTCATAGTTGTAATTGTCAAAATTTACCGAAGAAATACTTTACATGAAAAGCAAACCTCAGATGGTCAAAAGTTGAGCTTAGGTATGTTTGATATGGCTGCATAGAGTGTGAAATCTGGCAAATTTGTAAAGATACGAAAAAAGATTTTTCAATCTTAGTAGTGGATTAATGTAAAATCCTGATAAATTCAATAAATGTAGATTGAACAACCTATTGTGTTTTCGAAATTACATTTTTCCACTAAAAGGAAAACGAAAAACAAATAATTAACGAAATTTAAAAAAATAAAATTAAAACAATTGTGGTTACTTTTGGCACGTTGCATGGATTAAAGTGGTTCCCGTTGTACTTAACAGGCTGTCTACCTTTCTCAAAAGCTATTAGCCTATTACAAGACTAATGACAAATTTTGATACAGACACCAAATGTCATCCATACAATGTGGATATCAATTGAAGGGGAAAATTGGAAAATGAAAGAAAAAAATATCAATTTATTTTCTTCCTGTGAGAACAATTAAAAAAAATCAGGAAATTGATTAGTTCAAGTTTCACTGTGGCAGAAGAAAAAAGTAATAATAATAATAATAAAAAGCAAATTTGTGCGATTATTTCAATTTGTTAGAAAAAAAAAATAAATAAAAAGAGGTTATAATTATATTTTGCTCAATAGTTGACGCACATGAAAAATGGGGCCTCGGCATGTGTGGCGGGCCACGACCCACAACATGGCCCAAAAACCAACCACAACTTTGTTCAATAAAATAATAAAACTCTGCTGATTCGAATATCCTGGACCCGGGTCGGGACATATGTTGACCCGGCTCGCCCTTTAAAATCCCCTTCAAATAACTTTCTCCTTCATTTGGTCTCCTACATTTTACCCAACACATTAATCCCCTCGAAAACTCCATTTTCGTTTGGTGTATACACACAGATAGAAACACATATTTAATCGGAGCCAATTGGAACGGAATTTATCTTTTAAGCGAGTTCAGGTGATTATCAATTTGATGATTTTTTCTCATTAATTTTCAGATTCACAGGTTATATTAAATTCTCATGTTCCTGTTAATCCGCCATTTTAACCGTCTGAAGATCGTTCGGACTTCTCTTTGCGTTTGTTGAATTATCTCAATTTTCTGTTTCGGGTATTTCCCCTTTGTTGACTTACTCTGTGCAATTGATTAGTATCGACGATGTCGTCGCCTTTGTCGTCAAATCCGGCGGTAAATTCCGATCGATCGCCCGCGAGGAGAAGAAAGCGGAAGAAAATGCACAGTCAGAGCCAAAACCAATCGGAAATTAATCTCGAGGGGAATCCACGGGTAGAATGGAAATCGGACGCGCAACAGCAAATCTACTCGGCGAAGCTCCGCCGCGCACTGCAGCAGGTCCGGCGAGGCGGCGGGACACCGCTATCCGCCTCGCGGCGGGTGCACGAGGCGGCGGATCGGGTCCTGGCGGCGACCGCGAGGGGCCGGTCGAGGTGGAGCCGGGCGGTACTCACCAGCCGGCTAAAGGTGAAGTTCGCGAAGAAGATCAGCGCGGAGAAGCGGCGGCGCAAGGTGATGACGGTGATCACCGGCGGCGGGGATGGCCGCGCCGGACAGAGGAAATCAAAGGTGAGCGTCTCGCGGCTTAGTTCCAAGGGACTTCCGGCGTTTCAGAGGAAAGCCGGGATCCTCGGCCGGTTGGTCCCCGGTTGCCGGAAACAGCCGCTGCCGGTGGTTTTGGAGGAGGCGGCTGATTACATAGCCGCGCTTGAGATGCAGGTATACTTACATAGTTATATCGACATCATATATTATTTCAAATATATTACTGCAGGCTTTATTTAAACTAGTTTGCGCATGCGAAATATTGCAATTTTGGGTGCCGACTGCTGAGTTATAATTGTGAGACAATAATAATCTATTAACTATATGATTTG